CACCTGGTCGCTGTTCACCGAGGATGTCAAAAGACTTTCAGTTTTTGACCATAGATGTCTTCGGAGCATTGCCCGAATCAGGTGGGAACACCGGATCAGCAATGCTGAAGTACGTCGAATGGTATTGGGAGAAAATAACTCACCCTCGATAGATGAACTGATCACACTGCATAGGTTGCGCTGGCTCGGCCACGTGTTGCGTATGCCAGCCGACCGACGTTCTCGAAGGGCTCTTTTCGCACAACCACGTGAAGGGTGGAAGAGAGCCAGAGGTGGTCAAACAATGACTTGGCAGCGAAGTATGAAAGCCATTACTAGCAAACTCAGCTGCGCTGGTCACTGCCGTCTTCCTGGGTGGGGACCCCGAGACGGGCCACATCAATGGATAGAAACATTGTCAGATATGGCCCAGTCGCACCCTCAATAGCGCTCATGCATCCACCCCCCCCCCCCCCCAAATCATCGGTGAACGAAACTGCGGCAGCTACAACCACTGTACGACGAGTACTCGGTTCTTACAGCTGACAGTGATGATGGATGATGGGTGTATTAGCTGATTTATGATGCCTGAGCTCTGTGGAGTCCATTTAATCGGGCACCACTTGACCAACACTGGGCTCAGTTCATTCTACTTTGGGAGTACGGAACCTGACTCGTGTCCATGAGTTAGCTGAGTACTTCCCATTTTACAACTGATAGTGAAGCCAATCTATTCTGAAAAGCGGAGAAGCACTGTACAGTATCTTCATTCGTATTGGGAATTATCAGCAGTGCGCATCTCATAAACTGCGGGGAGTTTTCGAACCAGTGACCACCCGCTTAGTAGTTTGAATGACTAACCGTTCGGCTACGAACGGCTAGTCATCAGTATTCCTTTCAAACGGAATCTAGCCGGGGACCGTCTGACTCGGTGTCTGCTTCACACATTTACGTAAACCTCGCCGGTCACTGTACTCAAAATGTGGTTTACGTCTACTCAGCCGATGCCCCTGTGTCCGGCTGTAACACCCTTTCGGTGCATAGCTGCCGTGCCACCTGAAGGAAGCACGAAGGTTTGTTGCCCAAGCCTAGACAGAAGAAGTTGAGATGCAGAGGTTAGGTTCAAACCAGGGATCTTTGGCTCAGTAAATTCGTGCTCTCACCACCGAGTCATCTCGCTCGCTGATGCCCCTACACCTCAATGATAAGCTGCTGGTTCATTCTCAAGGTATGGTAGTCTGTTGCTTCACCTGCTGTTATATAGCAGAATATGGGGCGCACGACTGTACCTACCTACCATCTGTTCGCCCAGACCCGTTCAATATCAGTGTCTGGCCAAAGCTGGAACAAACGTGATTCGCTCACGTAGCCCGGTCGTCCAAGGTAATCAATCATGACGAAAAACAGGTTTCACATCTATACCAGCAGACTGCGCATTATCTTTATTATATCCATCTTTATAGTACCCTCTTTGTTTTCCTATCCCGCGATCTGTATTGACCAGAACAAGAGATCGTGTCGTTCTATATATTTTTTCTTTACTTCGTTCATGATCAACGCTGTAGATTCCAACTAGCCGCGAACGTCTTTTCTAGACGGGTCTGGTACACAGTGATGCTACCTTTAAGTTGCATCTACTTGGAAACAGTACGTTGCAGCTAACTTATTCTTGTTAGATGAATTTCGTTGAGGGACAGCAAGCTTTCGATTAGGAAAAAATAAAAACGCGAAAGTTATCTGATGCAGTTTGCCTGTTCGTCGGCGAGGCGTGCAGTGTTCCTCCTCCTTAATTCATGTGCACTGAATTACAATTATGGGAATTCAGTTGTGTCAGTTATGCAATCGCTGCATCTGAGACAGCCATTGTAGATCATCCGAATTCGTTCTTCCCGACTGCAAGTGAATGCGCAATTCTCGTAACCGTTAAGTATCGTAGGGATGAAGATATCAAGTGGAGTGACAGTCTCCGATGTACGACTCACGTGTGTTTTGTGTATCACGAAGTGACAATGAATTACCCCACCCAGTAAAACGTAGTCCTTATGAAGAGATCAACATTAACGAAAACTGAAGATTACTACTCGCAAATGCATTTTAATGGTTGGAATGCATAGGGCGGAGAACTAGCGAGGGTCCTAGTTTAGAAGAAAACGTGGCTGTTTCCTGCATTTGGAGACAATTGTATGTAACATCTGCACTTTGTATACACATTGGTCCTCGTTCGAAAACTTTCCGTTGATAAGCGGATTTTGTATTTCCTCCAAACTTTAGTGGACAACGCCTTCATTTCCGCCTGATGGTCTCTGGGGCGATCTCTCCGTTGTCTCCTACTTATCATTCATGGACTTAACTTTTTTTACTTGCCATTTCCCTCATAACAAAGTCCCACAGTCATTCCATGGCACTATCTTGCCGTTCAGTATACAGTGGACTATACTTAGTGTTCATGTCCGAGGAGCGAATTCATCCCTGAAGCGAGCAGTATTTCGTCGTCTTATTTTTCTTTGCACTTCAGGATAAGCTTATTCAAGCACTACAAAACATACCCTCAATAGTATTCCCTCATCGACACTGTCCAATCTTGTGTTACATCAATGTACAGTTCCCCGCAGAAATAGTTGAAATCGTTCAGCTGTAGCACCCATTCGATGCCTAACTGCAATACCACCAAAAGGAAGCACGAGATCTGGGATACTACGAGGTTGCCCAAGCCTAGACAAGGGAAGTCGGGTTTGAACCACGGACCTCCTGGTCAGTAAATTCGCGCTTTAACCACTGAGCCGTCTCGCAGAAACAGTGCCTTTCGGGATCGCTTGATCCATTGTGTGCAGTCCGTATCATTTGTTGAGGCGAGAATTCAAGAAACCCTACTCGAAATGAGTTTCTCATCAGTCGGCCAAACAAGCGAATTTTATCTTTGACTTTGTTAGTAGATTAAACATTATCTCTGTACATAAACCTAACCCACCCGTTCACTCACTCGCGATGCCAAAATCTAGACGAGCCTATCACTGTTGTTTTTGCTCGTCAAACTGAGCTAGCCTTTCTTATCGACGCGAATCCACAAATGCTATCCAAACAACCGCAGTGAATTAACTCTAGTGATTTTCCTCCTTGGGTCAATAGTCATACATGTCCAACTTCGTTTTCCGTTTTGCAGGGACGAACGACAAAGCTGGAGGCCCACAATACACGCTACGATTTACATCCCCGATCTCCATCAAAACTCAGCAACTTCCAGTCGCTTCGTGGAAACAGGCCCATATGCTCTAATTGGCACTGTAATGTTGATCCGAAGGACTTCACTCTCATGTGTCTCAGTTGTCAGTTTTTTGTTAACTTGAAATTTCTCCCTATTAGCTTCCGTTTTTGCTATTTGAAAATATTTTAAAGTCGCTGGCTTGCTTGAACTATTGGGTTCTTGATCCGGCAAAGCTGCTTTGTAATACATGGATTGTCCGTAACGTGTTCTTATGACTTCCAGGAGGCTTGGACTGAGATGTGTTCATCAAGTGCGGAACATACTGTTACATAAGCATGTCTAGTCATTTTGTTATAGAGTGCGTTCTTCATCCCTTCTTCAGAATAGCGCACACAGCAAAGTAGACATGGCTTATCAGAAGAATATGAAGGAAGCTACGGAAGACCTCGGGGCTGTCAATGGAGATCAGTTTCCAGGGTAAGTAGAGCATACTTAAAAGTGAAGTGTGTACTACCGCGCAGGAATGAAGTTACTCTGAGGACAAAAGTTCCACTCTGACAGTATGCTATCCGATCTGTTTTATTCTGTGTTTGAGAAACCTGGTCGATGCATGCCTCTGACACAGCGCAAGATGGAGATTTTTTTATCATTGGCGACCACTCTCCGAATGCGTTTTCAGGACACTGGGCAGAATGAAGAAGTCACCCGTCTGTGCTTTGGAACCGTTCGACTTGAACAGCTAATGCAGCAACGTCGGCTCCGATAGTTCGGACATGCGGACATCGTCGGAGCGTGTGTATCGACCATAGTACCGATTGTTTTGTTGTATGACTGTGAGATGCAGCAATCGAACTTAGGCGTCTACAGTAAGTATTGCCGCAGAACCATAGACCGTGTAGGCTGGTGTCGGAGAATCATCAACGAAACAACTAGAGAACAGGTTTCAGTTGCGCAGCGGGGACTTCAATGTGCCCAGCGCCAAAAGCTCCGGTGTTTTGTTCATCTTTTGCGCATGCCGAAAAGAGTGGTTTCTCCATGCCCAATTCAGAGTGGCGCAAGCAGAGAGGTAGCCAACCTTTGACGAGTGCGAATGAACTTATCAAAAGCTTGGATGATATCCGTACGACTCGCCTTCCAGAATGGGGCCTGCCTGGTCACCTCTGGGCATGGTTGTAAACGCTACAATACGTCTGCTAATGGATCTCAGTGGCATTGTTGTTGCTTGTTTTCATCCAGATTGCCTGAATGAGTGTCTGGATGTGTAGGCACCTCGGAGTGTTCGGGCTAGACCAGCCTCCTTCTCCTTAAATAGATTATCGTTGTGTAGCAGCGAAGCACCAGTGTTGATCACTGATTTTATGCTGTTGACTATGATAATAATGATGTGCGCGTGGGTGTTCCAAAGGGGCTTATTAGTACACGTTTATCGTTCATTACTCGGTAGTAATTTACCTATGGTTCGAGCCATGCAGTGGCCACAAATTCGAGTTGGGTTATTTATTCGTCGAACTTGTTGCAAACGTCACCTGTGGGATTGTGTAGAAGTTTAGCGGTGCGTCGGCGTATACACGCTTTAAATGGGTAGCTATGACTGGTGATTCAATGACACTGCGTTGAGCAGAGCAAAACTTCGGAAAATGACTGATGTGGATACTTATTTAGATCCCGAGTAGTTTTTAGAGGCAGAACGATTTACGCATATTTATAACGCAGCTGCATTTGTAGCATTGGAGTTGAGGAGCGCGGACTCCGAAAATGTGCGTGCAAGTGAAACAAAGTCGACTGAGAAGTGTTTCAGGAAGTTTGGTTGGCGATCTGGAAATTCTAGACTAAAAATTCAGTACCTAACCTTTCTTGCTGAACTGATTCCATGCTATTTTCCGTGTCGTCACTTCTCTTGACTGCCTTCTTGGCGCCTTCCCGATGGCGACTCAAGTGAGTACAGTTGGCATGTTTCAAGGAGTATTTTGTCAGAGGACGAGTAAATAAAAAAATCAGTTGGAAAAAGCTCAGTAACATGACATGAAACCCGACTCTTTGAAACGGTGCCAATTTTTAATCCTTCATATCAACGGAAAACGATGGACGTTTGTAGGAATGTTTTCCAGGTGTGACCTCCCTCCAACTTAAGTGTATTAGCAGAGAGATAATTTTTTGAACGACGAAATGACGTATCACTATAAATCCATGAATTGCTGTGACATGGCATGCTATTAAAGTTTTGTACTTGCGTTAGGATGTAAATCCCAAATGATTGTCTGTTGCCTAGCCGTGGGACAAATGAAAAAATAATTGGCCCACACTATCGTCAGAGCGATCGTGTCAGCAACCTATCTTGAAAGGATATCATTTAGGAGGGAACTAATTTGGTCCCTTCGATTCCAACTCTCTCTATCAACACTAGTACGGTTCAGTTGTCGGGACAACAGTGCAAACAGGGGACGTCGTTCGTCACTTAAGGTAAACCAGTTAATGAAGTACGGCCTACTTGCAGACAGACACGTATGACTACTGCACGTGGAAACAGTGAACGCCCACCACAGTAAATGTGTGCAACGTCGCCTACGACGGCAGTCATTGTTGCTGGTTCTTTCAGTCCGCACCTATTCCCGAGGTGCTACTCTAAGTCTGGTTTATCTACATGATTACAATTGTTTGTTTACTATCAAAAGTCCGTCTTTGCAGCACTACATTCCGGCTGACTGGCATGGACTATGTGCTGCAATCCTAAACTCTCAGCCATGAACAGTGGAATGTTATTGAAGTACGGATGTCGGAAAGCCTAGCTTGTGTATGTGCGTGTCGATTGTGATGAACCGCTACTATCATTGCCAGGACGGAAAAGTATATTCCCGCCAACCTTATCGTATGGAACTTGACAACAGCCCCGTAATAACAATACTAACAATGACTCAGCTGTAGCACCCTTTGGGTGCCTAGCCTACCGCCCACTAAGCGACTGAACTAATTGTTAGTTCGTCATACTTTAGTGAGTTCGGAGGTTGTGAGTTTATCACCTTGGTGTGAATGTACAACATTCCTGATTAGGACCTCGAAAGACCATGCAGATTCGGCTGTATTCAAGAGGTAGTCGTATTACGGAGGGAAGAATAGCTATACAAAGCCACACCGTTTTATTGGATTAATTTTCGGATAGGGGGGAGGGAACGCCGGACCGCAAATCCCATGGTACTTGATTTTCACTAAAATGACCATAAGTTTCACAGGGTTCACGCAAAACCCTTAACCGCTACTAATTCATAAGGGATACTACCGGCCTTGATCTAAAATCATTTCGTTCAGCCGTAGCACCCTTTCGGTGCCTAACTGCCGCGCCACCCGAAGGTTTCACGAGAGCTGGGATACTTCCAGGTTGCCCAAGCCTAGACAGGGGAAGTCGAGAGGCAGAGGTCGGGTTCGAACCACGGACCTTCCGGTCAGTAAATCTGCGCTCTAACCACTTGGGCCATCTCGCGCAATTCAAGCATAAAATGCTGAGAACTGGGTGTCGGTAGTTGTGGAGAGTTACATCAAAGTAATGAATGGCTATATACAACTGAGACTGACAGACTGCGGATGCTGAGGGTTGTGATAAAGCATCATGATTACATCTCAGCATCCCTCAAGCTGTAATTGATGTAGGGCAACTCTAGTTCCTGAATGGTGAGAATCACTCAAGCGCCCGAGTGTCAGTAGAATATGGTTACTGGAACAGCACATATCCATTAATGTCCTAGTGGCCAGGTATCCTGAACTGGTTGATGTGACGGGGTAATTTACCCAACGGAGGGAATTCAGCTTTGTCAGCATGGGAAGAAACCGGATTATCTATCTTAATGGGAGCAGTCCGTTGAGTTCCATCACAGTGTCACTGCGGAGGACTGAAAGTGAACAACATGGAATGGTCTGTCTCGCTTAGTTGCTGGTACATCGGAATACATAACATCACCCGTCGATACCTTGGCTTTTGATTCATACTCTTCGTCACATTTGGCGACTCATTTTGGAACTTCTTGTGGCAGAAGTCGCCCCTGCTCGCGACGTCAATAGTACTATCATCCATGATATTTGGGAACTTCACTCGGCATTACGAGCCACCGGAAGTAAACGGTGCATTTTACACCGATACGCAAAGGTTCATCCCCACTCAGATCTCGTGTTCACACAGGGTGAGCGTACAAACGAGTGATTTTTTTTCACTACAAACAAATCAGCGCTCAATTAATATAACAACATCAACAGAAACATATAAACTAGCCCTACTTGATGAAGCTTAATATAATCAGGACCGCGTTACACTTCAACTACACATGACTGTGGACAGAGTCTTCTACACAGTGGAACTACGGATTACTTTGAATTTCATGTCACGGGAACTAAAAACCCTGGACCACGTGACATTGGTTAATACATGGAGTGCGAATAACGCCAACGAATAATGGATTTTAACATATACGTGCAGGGTGTCGCTTGTGCACGAATTCAATATTGACCGTATATCTTTACATGGTAGCAAGCGCAAGAAAGTATGTTTGTTTCTCGTCTGATAAAGCGCATGCAAGTAGCGCCCAGTTTGTGCGCAAACCAGCCCGTAATCGATCAAAAACTGGGCAGCCTACAAAGCAGCAAACCGACGTAGCTGCTTACTTGCATTCAAGTCACAGAAGTTCAGTGATTCGGGTATGATGCCCAGTGGTTTCCTATGAACCGAATAAGCATTGTTAACTCAAAAGCACCGCACGAATCTTCTGTAGTCATAAGTAAAGCACAACAAACTGTAGAAACCAGCTCAGGAAGCAAGTATGCGGCACTGGTTCCAAACGGCACAGAGTTCTTCAGTTTATCAGCAAATGGAATGTAACTGGTACACAGTATTTAGTGCGTACAACGCTATTGGAACCACTCCGCTCTGTCAAATTCCCGGGTACCCTAGTGCTAATGATTACAGGGATTTGTGCAGTATATATATATATATATATATATATANTAACGGTGAACAGATAGGTAAAAAGGCAACAGGCCGTCATTTTAAGTAATCACATTACGGGGCGGTTTGGCGTCCTGCTTTCCTCTAACTTAGACACTTCTGAGGTTGGCCCGTCGGTTTGTTGAGGCAGGTTCCGACTAGATGTTGTAAGGTGGACGACGCATGACCTGCAGACGGAGTATGAAAAACATAGCAGAGTCTTGAAGGCAATGGTGCAGGTCGTCTGTGAGTTTGGGACACCGAACATCCACCCTATTGATGGCTCGACTTATCCACCAGTGTGGCGCTACTTGTTCCTAATCACTAACTTGCTGGTCTTCATTTTTGCTTTGCTTTTAAATGTCTTTCTGTATCCTTTCTGTTTTACACTGCCTATTGAAATAAGCTGCTAGGACCAGAAAAAATCGTACGCGTTCTGGTTGTCAAACTGAACCAAACTGGTTTCAATATCATTTTGTGGGGCGATAGCATGAATCGAAACGATACTTCAGTCAATGCATCCAACCCAGCTGTAAGCCTTTCAAGCGACTAAGATGAGTAAAACCGGTACCTGCATCCTTCACCAACGAGGATTTAGGCTAAGTACACACGCACATTATGAAACCCGCAGATGCATCGCAAACGCAAAAAATGGAACAAGACCAGATACCGCTAGTAAGGGTTATATCACAGAGGGCAGCTGGAAAAATGAAGGTGCTGCATCATGTCCACAAGGAGGATTGAATACGGAGTGGTCCCACTTCTCATGAACTTGACTCGCTCTTATTTTTGTCATCTGTAGTGCCGCTTGGGTCTGGTGGAAACAGAGTAGAACAGAACAGATAGATAAATTAGCCGCACTGCCTGTCCACTGAATTCGTTGGGTTGACTACTACCACATCCCGTAGACCAATGCATCAGCTTAATTAGGATACCGATATAGAGAATATTGTGACCCAGAAAACAGCTAACCATAGCGATCGTTTTTCGCTAATGAACACCAGACCCACCTCCGCGTTCAGTTTGAAACAGGCTATTTTCTGTAGTACCACATTCTCTCTAATTACGTCTACATTGGATATGGTGGCACTGTGCTTTGTAAATAGTGTGTGCGTGGGGGGGGGGTTAGTCGTTCTGATTACTCATCAACCAGTTTGATAAACCCAATCAACAAGCTACCTCACTTCACACGATCAGGATATCGACGGTGAGATGAGCCATTCCAGGTAGGAAGCACGACTTTCGCACACGACTTTCGAACACAGGCGTCTGATGCGGCAGTCCTGTGTTAACGACCACACCGGAAACCCCCAACAAAAGTGAAGAAAAAACAAGAAAAGGGACTCCCTAGTGACCGAATGCCTTGGCCCTTCAAATCACGCGAGTGTTCTGATGGTTTAGTGCGATAGATACCAATGACTATTCACCATCTCGGTTGGCTGTTCGAGATATCTCAGTGGCTGAAACGCGAACTTACTGACCGGAAGGTCCACGATTCGAACTCAGCCTCAGCACCTCGAGTGCTCTTGTCTACGCTTGAGCAACCTAGCAGTATCTCAGTCCTCGTGCTCCCTTCGGGTGGCATGGCAGCTTGGCACCGAAAGAGTGCTACGGCTGAACGATAAATACAATACAGCTTCTGTTAAGTGCTTGGCCTGATAGAACGGAGTGGTGCATTTGTTAAGCTTAGACATGTTCCAATTATGATAAGGCGGAGAATGTCAGTGCAGGGTACAAATCTCCTCTAGGGAGCTGTGCCCTTACTGCACATCTCATGGATTGGCTACAAAAGGGTAAGAAATACACAAGTAATCTACAAACGATTCATGCCAAATCAACTACCTGGAAGCGGGATCCCAGCATCTATTAGCGCCTGGCGTGCGTGTTCGCAATTGGCCTCAAGCACTCCAACTTCGCGTTTTAGTCGTGCCAAATCTTCCCTGATGCGATCCACATCTAGTTGATCCCGAATATAATTGACTGGCTCTTGCGGTGTGGATCCTTCTAAAGCCGGTCCAAAAAGTGAACGGCAAGTATCAATGAACTGCTGGACGTCGATGTCTGACATTGAATCAGCTGAAAAAGAGCAAGTGACATCTGAAAACAACAATAATAGGCCCACACAAGCTGAATCGTAGCATTGCATAATGAAAGGCAGTGACGAAAGTTAAACAAGCGCACGAGTAGTTTCGACACCGGAAACATATGGTGTCAGTATTAGTAATTCTCAGTACACCAACATCCAAGATATATTCCTGTACGGAATGTCCCGGTCGAAGTCACAAGAGTTACCCGTCAGCTACGATTTATTGTGCCTATCCACCCCTTGGATATATCGACCCTCTCCCATGATTTAATATCTTTGGGAAAACATAATCACCTACAAGGCTAACTGGACTATATTGAAGTTTAGAGTCAAAACACATCCTAATGGAATAAGATGCTATAATCCGATATTTTGGTTGCCCTGGGTGACCTTTTTCATACTCTGCTTCGCTGTGTTTTGATTTTTCATATTACACACCACGTAGAGCTCAATTTGGCCAGGAACCCTAAGCCTTGTCAACAATTAACTGAAACAAACCTGAATTTACAAACCATTAAATTACGGTTAGTCGAATCTGAATTCGTTTCAAAGGGTTATCCTAAGTAAAGATAACTAACACCAGCAACAGGAATCGAGCCTACTAGCTTCTGGATACTCGGTGAATACCGTGTTCCACTTACTTCGGATTTCTGAGCTATCCCAACTTCAAATACATTGTACGAGTCAAACAGAAGGCAAGCTATTGTTGGTTTACTAAGCAAGGTTAGGCAAGGCCCACATGAAATCAACCCAATATCCACTGCGGCTCAGTTGGACACTGAGGATCTACGGTTTCCAGAGTTTCTTCATTCAAATTTGCTACAACATGATGCCGGTTTGTCTACACTTCCTACGCACATTTTTGTTCCCAGTGTAACTGCAGGTTCATTCTATGGACTCATCAATATCAGCAATATTACAAGCAACAAACAATAGATCAAGGAAAGTAAACATGAAACTGTACGGCAACACCGTTATCATTTTCAACGGCACTAGATTTGACAAAATGCAGAAACTAGCAGACACTTTGAAACCGAGGATCTTCGTCGTTTATATCGAACCTACCCTAATAGATTCATACCCATGTCCGTTCTCACAAATAGGTTGACAGATTCAGAAGGGAGTTGGCGCAAAGAGCCTTAGAAGACGATCCATGGTGTCATCAGTGTTAGATCAGTTCTACCAGATGGCAGTCGAGATGAATATTCTTCGCCAGCTTAGCCCACTCAGTACAAACACCTTGTATCGGGACTTCTAAAAACCCAAGTGGATTCTGTCGTATTTGAGGTCGTTGCGTTGTGCGGGGAGGAACCTAACACTTGCGAATGCAGTGGAAAGTCGTATCCAGAATCGTCGCTAGAAGGACTCCGACAAATCAGCCGTTCGATGGACCATGATCCACTGAGATATAGGTCCCTTCACCTACGAATCCTCATCTTTTCCGAATCCGATCAGATTTATATTACTGAATTGGGATATCATAAAAACGCTCAACCCAACAAGATTGGGTTGGGTGGGATATCATAAAAACGCTCAACCCAACAGCATTCTCAAAGATTGGCAGGGAAAAATCGATCAGATTTCAATAGTTAAGTTGTGGGTAGGTCACGTGAATAAAGTATTCTCATAGGGTTTGATTGGAAAGCCATGCAAATGCGTAATTCCAGTTTACGGACGACAGCGAATAACCCCGAGTGAAATTAGGTTTATTTCCCAACCATGTGATAAAGCAAACTCATTTAGAAACACCGGCCATCAGGTGCACTTATGTGATCCAATCCGCAATGTGTGTGAGGGCTCAGAGGCTGTCTCGTCGCTCAATTCAAAATGGGAACGACAATATTGACTTTTCTTCGGGATATCCTAGCCTAGATAAGTCTTCAGTTTGTCCTTATCATAATGTCTTGGGATGTGGCTAATTAACTTGACGTATCCTACCTTTATTCAATCCAACTTACAAGCTTTCTCGCCGTAGGAACGTGGCACCACTACTCGTGCCCTCGTTTATTTTGGGTAATTGGGCTTCAAATTTAGGGAGCTATTTACCGTGCGTTGCTATGTCTTACCTTCCAGCTGCACTAATTTCCATCCGTATTGCTATTCTTCAGCGCAGCCTAAACCATCGGCCTATCGAACACAAGTGCTAAACCAGTGATAGAGCGACGTTTTTCACTGTTGACCTCAAATCCGGACAAAAAGATTGTTAGTCCGAGAGGAAAACCTGCAAAGTCCAGATTGTTCACGAAAGCCTTACGGAATACGAGAACATGAACGAGAAAATGAAAACCGGTATATACCAGCTGGAGGAAGATTAAACACCAGGCATCGAAGCCAACCAAGTTAGGCACTGAATTTCACTGCTCCAGTACAATTATGGGTTGCTGCGACCTAAATTCTTTTAAACCGATGCGTACTAGTCAGTTAATATTCTCAGGGTCCTACTAAACACAGGTAGCAAAGCGTGCACATAGACATAGAGACGGCGTATCCCATCAATGCATTTCACACTAAACACACTATTGGCGAAAAAGTGCACATACCCTGCTTACTACATGCAAGTACTGGAAGACCGACTAAACGTTCGTACAACGAACGAACACCTAACCGTAGTTTGCACGATTAAATCACTGGACATGTTTTTGAATTACTGCCTGTAGAGCACACTAAAGCGGTCGTCACATCGGTCCGGTTGATGTGTGCCTTCTCGTTGTTTGGCCTAATCTCTAAATATTCCACCCCAGGTACTATTATAACGAGCAACTAGACAGATGTACCGTAAAACGGAGTCACCCATCATATCGATGTATGATGTGAAATAGCGGATAAACAGCTTATGTGAATTTCTTATGGAGGACCATAGTCAAAAGAAGGCTTAGTTGAGTATGTCAGATCAAACATCAAACACGCTGACCACTAAGCCATCAAAAGCGCCGTTGTAAAAAGGTCTTAGGCGATTGTGAGTATCCCGAACGGGGTTCATGCGGATACGTAATCTTCCAACCAATATCGCTTACTCCACTACGGTTCAATCCTGTGATACATAGAGCCAGCTTCACGTGTGTTACAGACTAAAGCGCCCAAATGGCGTAAATATTTCTATCAATCGACGATCATAAACTATCGGAGGTCTCGAACAGTCAACACGAAGTTTAATCGTAGCAAATCATGTTTTAGGTGACGACCACAGTAATGGTGACAACACATGTAGGGAGCCAGACAGTCGCCATGAAGTAGGCGGTATTGATCACATAGTCTAAACCCACACCCCCATCACTTCCACCCTACACTAGCGTATCTAAGGAACAACCACTTGAAATTAAAAAAAGTCATTTTGGAGGAGAAAGCAAGGAAGCGAAATGATCACATAGTCTAAACCCACACCCCCATCACTTCCACCCTACACTAGCGTATCTAAGGAACAACCACTTGAAATTAAAAAAAACGTCATTTGGAAGGAGAAAGCAAGGGAAGCGAAATGCAATTGTCTTGCGTTGTTTTATATCGTTTGCAGACATGATTCCAACATTCGATATGGTGTTCAAAGGAGAAAAGGAAATTTACAGAATGAGTAGCAAGATAACTAGTGTCTGATTGATAAGTCAATCATGATGAGGCATTTTTTCAGGGACTGGTAGGCGATGGCAAACAGGCACGAGGCAATGGAAAGATACCAGCGTCGGCTATGGGGATGCAGAATACCTTAGAAGGCAATTATTGAGGAAACGCTTTGAATCCGTTAACAAAGATCAAGCAAATAGACAAAATGTCAGATAAAATGTCGAAATGCGCGGAACACAATATGGGATGAATAACAGCTTGGCAAATGATGAAGCCAGCTAAGGGCGAGGGTCGATCACAATAAGAACGAGTAGGGTGATAGACGACGGAAACCAAAAATAACTGAAAGTTCAAAATCAGTGGGACTAGAGCTGGATCGAATGAGTGTCCAGAGAGAGAGATTGTCGAAATACTCCGAGTTTAGGTAATGAAACACGTGAGGTTGATGACAGCGCCAGGAGTAAACTAACCGTTGGTCGGGTTCAAATTAGTGGCAGAAACCCGTCTAAGTTCCGCTGGTAGTGGTGGTCTGTTGGGAAAAGACGGCGTGGAAACTTTACGAGAGGGGCGGAAACCAAAATGAGTCCTTGGCTCGGCCGGCATAGTGTTAGGAATGCCAGATTGAGAGTGGACTGTGGGGGCAGTCAAAGAGCCGCCTACCGCTGACGCTTCGTAAGGAGGTGGCAGTGAGGGTCTTTGTGGCAGGATAGAATAGGGGGTTCTTACCCCATTGGGATGAGAAGCAAACCGAGAGGGGGGCGGACCGTATGGATGATTGTCACTAAAGTCCAGCGAATTTTGAGGGTTAAAAGCCTGTGAAGGACCAGGGCCGTTCACTTGACTTTGAAGAGTAGAAGCCGACCCGTTTGGAAGAAATATGCCGGAGCTCCCGGCTGTCTGGTAAGCGCCTGGTGGAGTATGATTAACTGCAGTCATCTCGTCAAAGCTGGAGTCCTTTTTCATTTGAATTACGGTAGTTAGCTGTGTCGTGCTTGCACTAGGGCTGCCAGGTGCACTGGTTAACTGGGTTAGGCTGCCGTCTATGCTACGACGACCATAGGACCCAAGGGAATGTTGGCTACCATGACGACCAGCAGCCGCAGCAGCTAATGCTGCAACCTCTGCCTTTAAATTGTCCTCCTGTATGCGAGCGATTTCTTGCACATCTGTTTTTATTGTTTCCAGAGCATCACAAGAACCAATTTTCCCTGTCGAACCGGACCAAACACGATTGATCTGCCCGCCACCCAGTGACTGTGATAGGTGGGATGTTGAACTAGAAGGAGTGGCCACCAGTCGCTGTGATCCACTGCGTTGTGGAGGTAAGCTGTATTTAGGGCGTCGAATACGATTGAAAGTGAGTGCATTCGCATGTGTACCAGCCAACACGGGTGCATATTCAATTTGGCCATGTGCCCCCGTTGACAAACTTTCAGAAGAGCCGGTAGAGGGAATCCCACCCACGTGCTGATGAAAAGCATTATATCCTGTATGAATCCCCGAGCTACCATTGATGGCACTTTGCTGATCAAAAGCGCTGGTTGGTTGTGAGTAGTTGAGGTTCAGAGAAGGAACGCTTCCGCCAAAGCGATAAGCAGCAGTGGGACCTCCGGCAGCCAGAATTACTTCGAGTCTGGTTAGTAGGTTTCGTCTGGATTGGCTGAAGGGAGAATCGGGTTGATCAAAAACATCACGTAACCACTTGGAAACAGGGATAATCGGTGGACCTGATGATTTACTCTTCGATATTTTGTACAACCAACATTCTTCCAGAGGTAGCTCCCAGTTGCCATTGACACATTGCTCCGATTCGGCGCCAACTGCGTTCAAAGTATCAGTGTCCTTAACCGTAGAATAGGTCCCTTGAGGTGGAAATGCCCGCTGTGGACTGGATAACATAGCGACCGTATGGTCACATCAATTCCGGACAAACTAAGCAAGTGATAGGTTCCACTGAGATGTTCGATAATTCAGATCATGTGCAAAAACAGCTGAAATAAAGGATAAACGAATGTGTTAATTTGCGAAACAACGCCGAGGTCTTAACAAGCAATAGAGTGATGCGGTTGAAGGTCAATGCGATGAGCGGCATTACAAACTAGGTATACTTAAGAGCTGAACCATGCTACCATGCAATCCTGAAGGGCTGATATTTCGTCAGTGTGATTTTGGGGGTGCCTATTAACCGTCTCTACCTTACCATACACCTCCCTCATAGATAACTGGATCAACGAAAGACTCAGTGAATTTTCAGGGACCATTGGCGTTAATAATGATCAGAGTGGATTGAAATTGGGAGCATCAGAGAAGCGGTTTGAGAGTTGTCCACAAACTGAAGAGTGGCATCATTTAGCTATTCCTATGTCCATCTGTCTTCAAAATTAAGCCGCTGAACTACCCTTATAAGATCTCTTACAACTGTTGTCGTCTATTACTAGACTGAATGACTGAGTAAAATTTGAGTAAAAAACAACCTTGAAAGGCTCCAACATTGTTTCCTCCACCTACCTTCTGCACAAAATACCGTACCATCATGCACCCGAGACACCCGCTCCTTATTGATAGAATTTACTTTCGATAATGTTTTCTAGCCATTTGCCTCGAATAAATACAATCCAATTGAGGCACCCCACCCAGAGAGTTCACGAGAGTTTTTACTTTCAGGCTGTGCTGTGGCAGACCGAAGGCCTGCAACAAGCTTGTGTATGCTCGCCCGCCGATTTCAATTATTCACGTCCAAGGCTTTCGCACAGACATCATCGGCAGCGTGTTCAACAGTGATGCTTCGCTGCTGCACAGCCATGATTTATTTGAAAACCCTATTGTTGGACAGGAAAGGGACTTAAGGCCTACCTTATTACAATAACTCCGATGTAACTACACCTCCAGACAGTCGTTCAGGCAATCTGGATAGACCGCCACTGACATCAATCGTCAGCCATATCTTGCAGTGTCTCCAATCAGGTGCGGTGGGGATCACGCGGTCCCCGTCCTGGTAGGCAATGAGCACCGACAGCACCCAAATGTTCCGTAACCTCTTTCATATCTTTCTGCCAGGTCAAAGGATGGCTAATTCTCTGCTTTCCTCCTCTGAGTTGGCCAAGGAAAACAGCACTCTCTTCGGCACACAATGGTTCGGAATACGGAATACACGGCCCACCCAAAGCAGCTTAGGGTGCTGGAAGCTTTAATGGGAATTCCTGTTGCACAACCGAAAACTCGCTTCACGCTTCGTGCTTCGTTAAGGATTATAGGACACTAACCCACACGACTTTTGTTCCTGAGACAACCACTGTCGAACACTGAAGAGGCCCGCTGCTTGAACAGGCCAAGTCTCACAGCCACACAACAAAACATCCTGCACTGTATCTTGGTACGCACGTCCCTTGAACAAAAAAGTGCACCCGTAATGTATCCTGATGCATATTTCCCTTGAGATTCAGGGATACACCGCTTTGACAACATGTGTCTCAGATTACCGAATGGGACTCGTGCATTGACCTCGTCCATCACACTACAATCAGAACCAATACAACCTTCAAGATATGTGAAACGCTCCACAATTTCGAGTGTCCCTCCCCGATGCGTTTAGTGACTGCAGTTTCAGGAGCATAATCTTACTCTTTCTGGGTGCATACCAAAAGGCAGGATGACTTTAGTCAGTTCATCTGAAAACACCGGCGACTTCTTCTCTTCGAAGATGAGAATGATGTCGTCTGCGAATTCCAGATCGATAAGCGTTTCGTTACCGACTCCCCCCAATAGTCTGGGACGGTCGTCTATTCCCAAATGCAGGCAAAGATCACACAAACGCAGACTGAGGACTTTACCCACATCTTTGAACAATGTGGATGAGAGGTCATTCGGACCAGATGCTCGGTGGTGCTTGAAAGTAGGTATGCTTTCATAAACATCTGGGGCTGTAGGGCGGTCCAGTTTCACCGTCCAGGGTTCTACTTCAGCTGTAGGCTCCAAATGAGTGGCGACGGGTGGCCACAATAACTGCTGTTCGAAGTATTTGGCCTAACGGTCGAGGCGTTCTTTATTCAAAATGGTCACGCCTCTTTGATCCTTGGTGTTTTCGCTCGGATGTGGTTTTCGGCGACTGGCCGCATGGATCAACTGAACTATTCTTTGGGCATTCCAGACTTTTTGGGCCTCTTTCGTTTTCTTAGTCTTCCGTATCCACCGGACTTCACGATCGTCTCACACACTCACTTCCACTTGACGTCTGGTAATTTGCCTGTCAGGATACGTTCCCAAGAATTGGGAAGTGCGACTGTTTGGTCTCATATTCAGTGCTTGAGTGGGCCGGGCAGCGCTGTACCACAGACAACACTCCCCGCATTGTGCAGAGGTGAGGATCTCGTCCCGCTGTGAACTCATACCTGATGGTGGAGCAGTTGCAAGAGACTCCAGATGATTTTGCTGAATTCGGATTTGTCAGACCCGATTTATCCGCATCACACGTGACCCTGGAAAGCAAACAAATGAGTGCGTGGTCAGGATCCACAAATGTGTTCTAAAACGGGCGGTAGTCAGTTATATATCCGCACCATCGGTGACTGACTGCAATGTGATCAATTGGAGTTCGTAGCGGGCACGACGTTGGAGGCAAATATGTGGCCACGAGACTTCGGTTTTTCAGAAATTAATATCAAACGAAAACAGCCTGTAATCAGCACACACCTGAAGAAATCGTTTGGCCAGAATCAAGGCCACCGCATTCCTCTCCAAACTTTATCAACCCCTTGATACAAGCTAGAGCAGCCTTGGTGGTCATGTTGGCTATCTGCTCCACCATGCAGTATTTCTGACACATTGGAAGAAAGACTAACGTAAGTCTATTCTTTATTCCACTAGCTCCGCATAGGATATTGTCCACGAGAAAAAAAACTTAGGTTACACTATTCAACTTACGGCCGACATGTCTTAGATGTGCAGAATCACATTCTCACCTGGAGGCCCATATATCAATTAGACACTTTCACCGTCAATTTAACGCGCTACAGGGTAGACATTCGTCACCGGAAGTTAACCCTACTGGACGTCCAAAAACCTACAATGATCTGTCAAAACTATTTCCCATGGTTGTAGTGCTGCCTTCGTCTACCAGATGAGACAGAAGCTTCTGGGCCGCCCTTGTGTTTTGCTTGTGGTAACCGAGCTGAGCACGTAGCAACCTAAGTGCGCAAAATGGGGAATGAAAGAAACCTCCGTACATACCTGAAAACTTACATAACCACGACTCACGTATTTGCGAAAAGAGATCATATTATTCGGCCACCCCAAACTCTGTATACCGGGTCACACTGTGTCGCCAGCTGCCTGAAGACTTCTGGCACTAAAAAGAACTTCATCGAAAAATGTATCCAACATCAGAAACTGTGATAGCTTGGCCATCTACTGCACCTGCTGAACTGCCGTTTGCCGAACAATACTNTAGCTTGGCCATCTACTGCACCTGCTGAACTGCCGTTTGCCGAAGAATGCTGTTTTCCGTGTCCAACTTAGATCAAGCAGGTGGCCACTCTTTGGCTTGAAGAGACATAGGGATGAAGAAAAGTCTGGGCACTGTCTGTACGACTTGGCTTCAAGGATGGTGTCAGCCTGATCACACTACGCAAGATATAACTGCTAATCAGTGTCAGTTTGTATCCAGTGTCCGAATGGGTGTTTGGAGAAACAGACGCCTGAGAATGATTGCGGTAGAACAATCAAACAACCGTTCAGCTGCAGAATCCCTTCGGGACCTAGCCACCGCGCCAAGGAAAGGGAACACAAGGGCTGAGATACTGGTTGTCCAAACTTGTCCAAGCCTAGACAGGAAAAGTCGACAAACGGAAGTTGTTTTTGAGCCACAGACCTTCCGGTCCGCCAGTCGGTACCTTAACCACTGAGCTATCTCGAGCTAGCATGAGGTGCATTCTTCCTTCACTCTTATTATTTTCTTCACAATATAGGGCTCTCAAATTATTGCTGTACAGCAGCGAAACACCAGTATCTAGAACCCCTTTCGTACCGTGGCCGATGATTACAATGCTGTACAAAGATATGAGTGACATTGGACTTCTTCACACCCAGTCCTCAGCCTTACCCTTACATTTCACTTTTCACTGACTTTGTTCCCTCAGAGTTGTCATCTAAGTGGCAGTGTGCATTACCGGTGTGCTGCTATCAACGAAGGTTATGGGGATGATACCGTGTTGTCATCAGCAACAGCACATTTGTGTTCAACACTGGTGTTTCGCTGTTGTACAACCATAACAATGATTTCAACGTGCTTACAACCCCAAACACCCAGCTAGACACCGATATCGATTAGTAGGCGAGATGGCTCAGTGGTAAGAGCGCTGATCGGAAGGTCTATGATTCGAAACCGACCTCTGCCTCTCGACTTCCCCTCTAGGTTTGGGCAGTCTGACAGCAGCCCAACCCTCGTGCTTCTTTCTTGTGGCATGGCAGTTAGGCTCCGACAGGGTGTTACAACTGAACGATCGATTAGTAGCCATGTCTTGTAGTATCTCCAGCCATGTACAGGGGGTTCACGCGGGTTCTGTCCTAGAAGGCGGGTCGCACCGATGGTACCCAGACTTTTCGTCCAATCTTTCATAGCCGCCTGCCAGGTCAGAAGACTATCACCTCTCTGTTTGCGTCACTCCATATTGGGGACGGAAAACAGTCCTGTCAAACGGTGATTCACCATACACAATACATGGCCTAACCACCACAACTTTCAATATTGGGGATATTCTTTGAATGAGGTCCCCGTTGCACAACCGAACACTTGTTTTTGAATTCCCCCGTTACTAATTACTCAGCACCAGTCTATGAGCTATGGTTCTCAAACAATGCTTGTTGAAGACCTGAAGACGTCTCAGTTCCACTGCTAGGAGAAGCCAAGTCTCAGTCGTACTATAAAACTGCCAGACTAGAGTCTGATACACACGTCCCCTAAAATTCAGGAATATGCCTCTTGGCCGTCATGGATTACCTTCAAATAACCCAAAACCTACCCGTTGATGGTCGCCTCTGTGCGGTTCGTTCCACAACGTCCGTGAGTGATTCCCCCAAAAGAGGAAGTTGATCCTGTTTAAACTCCGATAAACTGTAGCCCTGACACAATCAAAGACAAGTTTTATGATGCCCTGAATGCCATGTTGCGACGAGCTAAATGCTCGGATATCGTTGTGGTTACTGTAGTGGACAAGTGGGCAGACTGAGCACATCTGAGACCAAGGTGGTCAACTTGAACTGAACTCGGTATGTATAGATAGCGGAAAACGATTGCTTCAGCTATGTGATGATTGCAGATCGTTCTCATGCACTACTAACTTCCAAAACAACCGAAGGCGTCTGGCCGCGTGCCAGCCACTGACCCAAACTGCTCACATCGCCATTAGTTACCAGTGACGTGGTTCATCAAATAACGGTCGCTCGTTTTAAGATCCTCAATCAGAGCCTTCGGCTCAAAAGCCCGACCGCAAGCAGCAAGTGGTGCTAGCATAGTACTAGTCTTTTCAGAAACAAGTCGACTTGCATGTCCCAGTCCTCAACCTTGAAGACCAGGAGACTGTGCTCGCCAGACATCTATCGGCTAATCAACTTGGTTTGGGAAACTGAGGGTGTCGGGGAGAAAACATCCAGTATATAAGTAAACATAACTCTACATTGAGACAAGGTCGTCTCTTGTCAGTAGGAGACATGTCACTTACGATTCACGGAGAAATATCGGACACTGTGAAAGATCAATATTTATCAGTGGTTACCTTCGTTCTAAAAAAGGATGTCTGCTGAAAACACTGCACAAATCTAAAATGCCCCAACCGTTTCGCCAATTCGCGAGACTTGTGACGCTAAAAGAACGCTGTCGTTGGGCCTAATGAGTCAATCCATCAACTTTAAACAATGCACCATAGACACAATGGTTCCATTTGCTACGGTCTCGATCACGGGAAAGTGGGAGTGTGGGTTGCACAGCCAAGCAATTGTATGTTCAGTCAATTCGGGAAATGGGTATCTAGGCACTGAATGCGATAGCTTTGATGCATGAGCGCCACCGACTGAGCGACTGGGCCATTTCTGCCAGTGTAAGTAAACATTGATGATTTGAGTCCCGGGGTTCGCATCCAGGGAGGGGGCAGTTGCCCACCCGACTTAGTTTACTAATTAGTGTTTTCACACTTCGTTTCCGAGTCAAACACTGTTAACCTCTCGGTCGCTCTCACTCAGCACAGGGCTGGGAAAAAAGAGCACTGTGAGGCAAACGATCTTCTGGCATGCGGAGTAAATAAGCTATTGTGGAAAACTTCTTTCTTCCTAGGATCATCTGGCGTACCTCAACATTGCTGATCCGATGTTCTCACCAGACCCGACCAATGATTCGGAGACACCGATGGTCAAACCCTGTCACATTTCGTATGTCTGATGCGCGTGAGGACCACGTCTCTGATCCATAAAGTAGTATGGATCGTACTGCCAGTATAAACTCAGCTCTTCTCAGACAAACTGATGTCACATCGGCGTCATAGGTTGGCTAACGGCCAAAGGGTCTAAAGGTCCGCGCAAATCAGGCTACAGTAGGGAATGTGTTGTAAGGTCGTGAGGCTTCGTCCCTACCAGTGGGTGATCTAAATCTTTAGGACGTTAACCACAGTCACCTTAGAAGAGCAACTGACATTGAACGGCTTGAAAGAATTCAAAGACAGTTGGGAAACAGGTGTTTGGTTGTGCAATAGGCAAGTTAGTCACAAGAAGCATCTAAGACTATCAGATCCGATGGCAAGGCCATGTGCTACTGGTATTAGTGCCACCATCTTCGGAATGGAATATACCGTGATGTGGACAGTGCGACTTAAGGGAAAAGCGTCAAAGACTATAAAACGTTTGCGGGCTGTTTCACGGCCGGTCTTCCAAAATAGTTCTCATGACCTTTCCAAGTTTAAGGGTGGCCTTTGTCTAGTAGCATCTCCAGTGGACGGAATACTGTATTCACTTTACCTTCTGCAATTCCACTGTCTTTCATCGAAGACGTCCATACTTCTGTCGAAGGTCTTGAGCCGATTTATACGGCTCCGAATGATAGCGGAAGGTATACGAATATCCAAGTGATGAGTTACGGCCACGATTGTCTTCCTACACTTCCAGTTTCGGCTCCAGAACAGTGGGCTTAAGAAACGGCCGATCCGTCAAACTTGACACTGCGCCTGGTAACCGCAAGGTAAGTGGAAGGGGAGGACGTAAACATCCCATGGAATCAAGCAGCCCCAAAAGCTACTCGTTTGGATGGGTTGCGTGACTGTACCATTACAAAAATCCACTCACGCATTACGATCAATAGTCTCCAACTTTCATCACTTGCAGCATCACAACTGAATTAAACCGAAGCTAAAGAATTACCATCATTATTGACGACAAGACAAGAAGACATACGTGCCTCACCACCGTCCAACCACATCAATTCGCTCGAATAAGGCTTTGTAATGGAGAGATGAAATGAACGGTCATGTGTTCAGGACAATCGTAAGAGCAGTCAAACTACATCGTTGTGAAACTAGTCCCCTCTGATCCGAGGATCTCAAACGGACTGAAATTTTCAGTCATCGGTCTCGGAATATTGCTGTTAGCTGGCACAAATGTGCTCGTGGTGAAGTGAGAAGAAAGCGTTCAGCTGTAGCACCCTTCCGGTGCCTAGCTGCCATGCCACCCGAAGAAGTAAAGGAGAGTAGCAAGCAAAATTCACTATGTTCAGGCGATTGAAACATGCGCTTCGGAAGCCGTGTTCAACGCAAACTCCTGTTGGCAAAAGGCACGCCGCGAGAAGTCCATCACCCATCAGCTCTGATTAATAAACTGACCATTATTATACCATTTTTCTCCATGCGCATACTACCTTCAAAGTGCAACAACAACATGAGGTCTTTGAATATTACCCTTACAATTCAAGGAGAATTGCTGGGTTGTAGAGAATTTTACACACTTAGGTATCTGTATTAGCTCTGACGGAAGCACCTGATAAGGTCAGTGCACGAATATAAAATTCCGGAATCAAGTTTGCTAACTTGGGTCACTTGTGGCGTCAAACAAGGTCTCAAGAGTCGCGTGTACCAGGCTAAAGTAAGGGTTATTGTACGGTCGCGAAACATGGCCTCTAAGGACAGATGACGTGAAGCGTCTTAAAGTATCTTTACCACCGGCGTCTCAGAAGCGTTGCTTTTGTCGGATGGCGCCAGCGAGATAATAAAAAAACGGGTGCAGCAGGTATTTAGATCGCATCATCCAGCATCATCACACAATGGCTCGGCCGTGTTCTGCGCATACCGAAACACTGTATACCGAGGGGGGTTTTGTTCCCTGTGCATCCTTCCGAAAGCGCGAGATGGACAACGTATGACTTGACAGAACGTTGGCATGGGGTAAGCTATATAGGTTCGCGTTTGTGGACACCTTATTTGCATAAATACCGGCGGGCACTGGTCCTGTGACCATCTGCGACCCTACTAGTGACAGTCGGCCGTTTGGGCAGCACTTCAGTCACTCTGGCCTATAAGTGTCGGTCTTGTGAAATTATTTCTCACAAAATAGGTGAGAAACAGTGCACTAAATGTTCAAATCTAAGCATATAACCACTAATAAGGCGGTGGCGCAAACTGCTTAGTGTCATGTTTCCGGGGCGGTATAATGGCGCTCAGTTTAGTGGGATTTCCCGCTACCGAAGTCCGACTCACCGGGCATTAGGGGGAACCCAATGTAGGGAACGCCTTACTACCCCCGATGAAGCGCTGCAACGGCCAATAAGCCAACTAGCGAGTGATTGGTCAGGATACGGGCCTCTACCTGATCCACCATCCCGGCGAGCTGTGATTGGTCAAGAATCGACCCAAACACCCAAATATGCTTGAGATTCCTCGGGACGCCAGGTACCAGTGGGGTGTTCAGAAGGCGTCCGAATTTCCAGAGTGTTGTCGGCCGATCGCTCAGCGCAAAGGCAAATCCATTTTGTCGAAAAAAGCATTTCTGATGCGACGAATTTCGCTGTACACATGCGTGTTTCATATATGCCCCGAAGATAGGCGTTTGCCTACGTGAACGAAATTTCAGTAACACCAAGCGCCACCGCTTCGAATGGAACTAGTTGTCCCGCCGATAGCCAATATGCCCGAAAAAATGGACAACCCATGCATAATTTCAAACTCAATCTTTCCATTTTGATACTTGGATCATTTTCGGAGTCGTAGCTAAACAAACTAATTTGTTCGCGGAAATTTCCTATGACCCTACTGTTTAGCACGAAAATGCTATGTTGATTCTAACCTCGAATGAAATCTCAGCGCACCATGGGACAGTGACGTAACTACATACCTGTTTAACCAGTATTATTCTAACGTACGATTAACTAGTTAGAAGACAACGGTCACACACAGCTTGCGACCTTTCTGATGTGGAAACTTTCCCACTAATAATATTATTGGTTATTCCCAACTTGTGGGCGGCATAGCATCTGACATGACCATTCGTTTACAGTCAGAATGAAGCATGACTGGAGGGTTTTCGGGTAATGGGGATTGCGCGGAAAGTGGACAATGTCGTAAAAAGTGGACAATATCAGGTGAAATAATAACAGGTTTATTTCCCAACTTGTAATGCACAATGGGCATGAGGTCCGGCCAGCTCAAGGATGAAGCCCATTGACACGAACTAAAACTGTATACTATTGCTGGCCATGAGTGACCTTGGAAGATTAAGTGACCAGTGTCACAACAAGCAAAAATGGAGAGGGAGGTGGGATAATTCGAAGTGGGAGCATACAGCAAGTCGCGTCTCAAAAGTGTTGTTTAGTCTGAAATTAAGAGGATCCACTAGTTCCACTGTTGTAGGGAAGTCAGGTGCGGAAGTTAGGTTGGATCGGGGGATACTGCTAATGCATAGGGCCAAAAGAACACCGCATACGTTTGATCAAATCCGAACGAAAGTTTCATCGGGTTAGAATGAACTCGTCCCAGAGGCGGTTGGGGACAGGTGAAAAATTTTCTCGTAGTTGCAATTACAGGCTTGAGTGGGCGAGAGGTTGCGGTCGAGATTGTGAAGAAAAAAGAAGAAAAGAAAGAAAAAGAAAAGAAAGAAGAAAAGAAGAAGTACCATCACGCTGGGTATGACAGTGCCATACCTTGATTGCACCGACATACTTCGGTTTTTCGACAGCCCATAGCGGTCAAGAACTATCAGCTCGTTAGGGAACTACGAGATAAGAAGGGAACATATCGCCTCATCCTCTGCAAACAACGACCGTTTACCGTTATAATCGTATGCGTCGTCGCTTAGCTCGATTTTCTGTCTCAACTCCCAGACTCCTACCTGTAGACCCTGCTGAACGTTAAAACTTGAATATGCTCGACAGCCTGCTTTGGTGGCCGAGGACAGTTTGGACACGCCTACGTCTACGCATTGTGCCAATACATTTGAAGAGTGTTGTAACGCTTGATAAATCAGTCTCTTCCCCGAAAATTATTTCCCTTCGTGAATTTGAAAGAACTGTACCCAACTTTTTATCTTGCGCTTCATAAGCAAAACCGGTGAAACATCTTATGGTCGCAACACAAAGCACAACTACTGCTCTGTTAGTAGCACCGACGATGGATAGACGGGTGTGTTCAATTTTCCTGCCGCTCTGAATTTGGATAAAATTGTACTGAGGATAAGTTCCCTTACGACTTCCGCGTTTAAGTGCTTCGGATAGTGGCTAGTGTGCGATGATCTGGCGTCGGTAGTGCACTTGCTATTCCTCGTAACTTATCCCTTGTGGTTATTTGTCAGTCAGCCGGGATCAGCGTCCAAAACCAAGATGTAGACGTTCAAATGTTGGTAGACACGATTAAACTTGAGGCTGGAGGGGGTATCTGAACAATAGAAGCAAAAGTGGCCCTAGTGTGCGGTAAGACCTAGCCCCTACTGTTTAGCTACCTTGACGCCTTCAAAATTTTACCCATCGGTGTCTCTGTAGCGGCTAACCGGTCAGTAGACGGATGCTTGGAAAATGTTACTCACAGAATAAGCAGTAGGTAGGGCTTGCCAGAAGAGTGTAGTTGACCGCCGTCTACCTAAAGAAGCGTCGCCTGCAAATCGATGGCTGAGAAGCCACAAGAGTCAGGTTATGCCATGGCTATGGGAAATGATGTTGACTGCGGATTATCACTATTTCCTAGTGGTGCAGGATTGTACGCTTCGCACAAAACGGCTATCACGAGTATGTAAGGTAGTCACCGAGGCATCGGTGTGACTGAGGGTACTGGGGACCTCAAACCAGCTGCTACATTAACGGCTTGTGTTAATACTACCATTGGCGGTTTCCAGAAAAATTGGTCTAAAGCATTGCTTGAATGCCTAAGAAATTTTGAGTTGAAATTAATTGAACCGTTTTGGAGTTTTTATTCATTTCTGTTTATTTTTCAGTAAACGAGTAAGAAATCCCAGGAGAACGTCCAGAGATGTTACCTTTTTAAAGGCTCTGCGTAGATGCGGTTTTTACTTTTGCGCCCATCAACCCTCAACCACTCTTGCAGTGTTACCGCAGGAAGGCCCTCCAGCTATCACAATCACTGTTGAGGTGTCAAGGGCACTGGTATTCCTTTACGTTCTTTTAAACTGGCTTCACTTGTATTAAAATGGGAGTCTTATATGAGTGGATTCCCCTTTAGTTTCAGCAGTTCTCTCTTACGGCTGAAGTAAAGACCATCAGCATTTGCCACAATTAGTCTACAACTACACGTCGGTCTTCCAGCAATGTTAGAACATTCGGAATGCACTTTCAACCGGCTTAAACTGCGGGAATCGCAGCATGAAAACTGAATAACCACACCAAAGTTGCATCAGTAACAGAGTTTGACTGACTCCGTCATTGTAGCCATCAGGTGGATGGAACTTACAACCTAAAAGATACGTATGACTATCTTCTCTTCAATATATTGCTTCTACCCTTCTGTGAAGTTCCAGAGATTTTTGGAGCTGGAAGAACCTTACGGACTAAGCTTGGAGGTGTTTCCATGTGTTGGTCAGCAGGCCGTTTTGCCGGCAAATTTGTAAAGGGTTTTGTGCATATACGAGCCGTGATGGCAGGTAAAAGTGGTTTTGGATCTACATGCTCACTCAACTGGTAGACACCCACAAAACCTCCTAACAGCAGAAAAATTTTTTATCGCGTCAGCATTCTCAGTATATTGTTCGAACTGGAACACGTCAGTGATCAACGGAACCGCTCAGCAGACACCAGAAGCCGCAGAAGGTGCCGTCTATTGCTCTGGATCACCAGTTAGATTGGGTGTGATTTTCCTCTGAAACAAGTGGCTGATTGTCAAGACGTGTGGTCGAACAGCCGGATAACAAATGCTGCCGCTAAACAATGAAGTGCTCGAGGTAGGTTTTGTCCTTGCGGGCCTACAATAACTTTACCTTGCCATCCACACCATCAAGTTATGGGAACCGTGTATTTCGTTGCTCTGAATGGTTGCACTTGGCTAGCTAGAGTTCGTGGAAGTTAAGACAACTTGGCTCACGCTTATGTGCTGTATGGAATCAGCAATCGAAAAACAAAAATGAAAACATTTGTGAACGTACGTGCTTACAGAGCGCTTGGCGGGTGGATACGCAGCAACGCACTGCATACTGTTCAAGGACAGTTATCGAAATTCGAAGTTTTCATCCACTACAAACGCTTTGCTCTGGTACTGCTCACCCGCTATCGCCTTGAGGAAATGAAAACCCTTCATGCAGAGACAAAAAGCTTGAAGTTAAATACGACTGGTCACTAAGTTCTCACACCACTTACGACAAATTAGACGTAAAAGGGTGAACCCACACAAAATGCAGCAAGATGGTCTGGAAAAGTCTACAAAAGAGAATGCGTGCCGTGTTTGGCGTCAGCGGTAGTGACGCCTGGAAAACATCTAAATATGCCAAATGTCGCCATGTAGCGAAACAAACGTGGCAAAAGTGACCGCCGTCGGATTGGGTCAAAAACAGGAAGCTGTATTTGCATGGTTTTGCGGGAACCGACGGAGTGGTGTTCCTCTCAGTAACCCATGTACAGACACCGACAAATCTTACACTAGAAGCCGACATTTTAAGTGGCTGTCTTGGGCACCCAATGTAGTCAGCAGATCTTTAGAGCTGTTTGCAGCACACTGCGGCACTTCCGTACTTTAGCGGGGCGTTGCACTAACTTTTTTGTGGCAGGTTGGCCTCAGTTGGGGGGAACTCCCGTCGTATAGTTCGCAGTTTATCAAAAATGACCCGAATTTAATGCAAGCAGTAAATTTCTCTGACGTGGCTTCGCCTCCCTGGATGTCCGCTAGGAAAAGTAAAAAAGCTAACATTCATAAGCCGTAAACAGCTAGTTTACTTAAATTTATACAAACGGAAACAAGTTTTCCATGTGCTGCTTTAGACGGCTTTTAAATGGTAAGCTGATCAAAAAGGAATATAACGATTTCTCCGTGAAGTCCATCCCTGCATGCGTAGGATGGTTACAATGAGCCGTGACTGCCATGAAAAATCATATTTCACGTTCCATGTACATTTCAAGTCCTTTCGAGCAACTTCCTGCAAATATTGATCTAGAGATTAATCGAGTGGCCGTTTAACTGCTTGCGGATCTTGGCATTTATCTTGCGGAAGCTTGCGAAGCGGCACCAGCAGCGCGCGCTTCAAAATTTCTACTCCCAGTTCAAGTGGTAAGAGGATGTGGTCAAATGCAGCGACGAAGGAAAAGCTGGGTTTTTGCTTAAAAATGTCCCCAGTGTTGACAGCACACGAAAATCGATCTCTCTATACTGTCTGACAGGAAAGTCTTGATCCAGCGTAGGATTTTCCCTTGAATTCCGTAAGACTGGAGTTGGTGAAGCAGCGAGACCTGTGGGACCCTATCGGATGCTTTTGAGAAGTCGAAAATACGGCATCCGATATGATTTACATGTCCCTGGTTTGGGTTATGCTGTCCATAAACACGAGCGTTTTTGTCGCGCAGGAACGGTTTGGGAGAAATCCGTGTTGAGCTGGAGATATATTGGAAAGAGAGATATTGGAAATAAGATAATCTAGGGAAGCTCGCTTCAGAATGCATTGCATCACCTTGCACGGCACGCTAGTAAGGCTTAAAGGCCTGCAGCTGCCAGGCGACAGTCGGCCACCAGTTTTGTTGATTGGCGTGGCAATCGGTTCCTTCTAAGCAGAGAAAGGCGATATTTTTCAAGCGACTGACGAAACACCAGGTATAAATTATTTGCTAGTATAGACGACGTTTTCTTTAGGATCCTTGGATTGATTTCATCGGACCCCAACGCGCAGGATGCTTTGGTCTTGTGCGAGAGTTGAAGGATGTCCTACACCGCAACGAACAAGTCGGTTAAAGGCTGATCGTAGTTACTCTTGACAAGACCGGATGTGACAAGGACGCCGGGGCTGAATACAGACCTGCACAGTGCTCCCTATAAAGCTCAGAGGCCACTTTTCGGTCACTCGTGGGTTCTTCGTTCCCGACTTCCAAGGAGAACGCGGATGGTTTGTTTCTGCGGCGATATCTGGTGCACTTGAACAGCGCATTTCTATTTTTCCCAGCGAGGTCCAGAATGGTGGCTTTTTTCGTATGATTTACAGCGGTTCCGCATTTTACAGAATGCAGGCTCATCTTCCGTGTCTCCTGTAATCAACTATTTGAAAAAAATCGAGACCTCTCTTCCATAAGACGCCGAATCCTTTTAGGTACTTCTCCGCTCATCTGACTGTGTGCCCATTTTTTCTGGAACGAACATCGCATCAACCTCGTGAACGTTTTGGACAATTGTTTTGTATAAGTCTCCCACCGAAGCTGGTCCCGGTTTAACTTGTTCACGGAAGATGCGCATTACTGAGAAGTCTGCACGCCAGAATTCTCGAAATCGCGTATGGGTTTCGGGATTCCCAGCCGAATGGCAGATGAAATCAAAGGTCAGCACACACTGGTCGCTATGTCACAGTGGAGTATTGAGTATTTTCCGATCAATTAAGCGTCTTTCGTCGGTGATGATCAAATCCAAGAGAAGTCGTCGTTTGCCTGCGCGTTACTGGTGGATGCAACGACATGTTGGGTCCAAGCGCTCTGTTGAACGACTCCAATCAGCGGGGCTACAAACAGTCCAGTTGATCCGACGCGTTAAGGATCCATCAAAGAGGCGATTGAAGCGTTGAAGCCACCTGACAGCAGAAGA